CCGGCCGCGTGGGGCCGCCGCCAGCTTTCCCCGGGCCCGGTGCCCGCCTCGGGGACATAAGGTTTCCCGCGGGTGGCTGTCCTTCAGCGCGGGGCTCATTCCTCCGAGAGGGCTGCTCCCCAAACCCGCGGGGTGCCCCTCGCAACGGGGAACATTTACCGGGGACAGTTCCCGGGGCCCGCACGGCCACATCGCGCCTCAGCGTGTGCGTGTGGGCCTGCCGGCAGGGCTCGCCCGCCCGATCTCTCTTCTCCGGCCCGCGGGGAGGCCCGAGCTCCCGCACCCTTATCTGGGGGAGGGCAGGAGCCCGGGACGGATCCCAGAGCCCGGGGAGCTGGAGGGGCTCCGGCCTGGCCCCTGATAAGCAACGGTATCTCGGTGAAAGGCAGGGCTGGCCCCGGCTCCGGGAAGCCGCTGTGGGATCAGCCTCAGCGTTGCAAAAATCTGCAGTGTTCGCACGGAAAACCTGTCTTCGAAATATTCCGTTGTGTAACCGGTTTTGCAAATGTTGTTATTGGACACTCGTGTAAGGAAATTGCCGATATTGGTTCCTATTACTAGCCAGGCCTAACCTACAGAGTTATGTGGGCATTTAGCATTTAAAGATGCAATACAGCAAAGTACTTCAATCGATACTACCAAACTTGTCTTCCCTCCCTGCCTTCTTTTCTCTTTTTTCATCTTTCTTAGAAGTATGGTGTAGTTGTGTCGGGAAAAAATCTGCAGAGACGACGTTTCTTTATCAAAGGAAACATATCTTTGGAATTGCATCCTTAACTGAAACTTTCTTTGAAAACGCCGGTGTCTCCAGAGAGTTATGCAGAGCAGTCCAGTTAAACTGTGTGTCTACTGCCTGTTTTTAAGGAAGAAGACTAGAGTCAGCAACTCAGAAATGGGGATCCAAAGATCTGCTGCTGTCTCTCTTGAAGTCAGCTGAATTTTGTTCTTCCCGATTTTATTCACTCTCACCCCAGTACTTTTTCCTTTTTTCCAATAATTCTAAAGATACTGGATGAATGTATCAAATTATATGTTAAATAGGAATAGGTAAAAGTGGGAAAGTAGTTTAACTTGCTCCAGTTTCTATTTAAAGGGTGTAAAAAATGTTTTAAATTATTTTTTGTGCTATTAGAAAATGTACTTACCTGCCAAACTAAAAAAGATTTTAAAATTTAAATCTTGCAAATCAGTGTAAAACTCCAATGCAATCCATATAAATTAGTTTAAGTTAATATAAATGAGAGAGAAATGAGTAATTTGCAGAGTAGGCCATGCTGATACAATCTGGCAATTAAAACAGTATTAATGTGACCATCTTGGGAGTTTGCACTGCTTTCACTGGATTTATTGAAAACTGATCTCATTGAAAGGCTACAGCTATTACTCCAAATGAAGTCCTAAGAGTTTGTAGCCAGGCCAAAGGGTCAGCCAGTTAACAACACTACGTGTGACTATTATCGTGGTTATGTGTAAAACACAAATTTGCAGAAGTTTCTGCACAGTACAATACCAAAGATAACTTCTAACATATCTTGGTGATAAAATGCAGCCTTTCTTCGTTGCTGGTGGATTCTCTGAACAAAACAAAGTCAGCAGTGCTACACACAGCAAATTTCTACTGTGTCAGCAGTGCTACACACAGCAAATTTCTACAGCAAATTCAGGAGAGTCCAAGCTAGCTCTTAGAGGCTTCCTCCCCCATCTTTAGTGTCCTGGGTATATCGCTCAACACTCACAGCTGCCAGGTTAGGCTGTGCCTTCCCCTCACTTGGATAAAGGGTACTTCATCATGACTGCACTAGGACTGATGTCATATTTCTTAAGTAAGTCACTGTAAGTTTTGTCTGCATAGGGTGAATATGCTTTTTTGCAAAAGGCACACGTTGATTGCATGGTCTCAGTAGCTCGGGCTGAGCTGTCTAATGACTGGGTAGGAGTGCTCCCTGACCCTGGAATGTAAATTGCAGCTTAGAACATTCCAAAACCTGATTTACCCTCAAAAAACCATGTCCCTGCTCTTCTCACCAGTTGGTTAAACATCTTGTCTCCAGCAGCTTTTGGTTGCTATTAGAATTCCTAAATAGAGGTGTGCATACCACAGACTTTCTCAGTTTCTCACAATTATATTAATCAGAAGGTTTGGTTTGCTGCATTGTAAAGATTGAGTAATAACAGGCTAGGAATCTGGAACTCATGCACTCAGAAAAAGGGGCGTATAGATGCAGATGTTTGGTTGATATTTAATATTAGAAGAGAGTAAATTCAGTGATCTGGTGCACTGTGTCACTATCTCTGAGAAAGCATCAAATGCTTAAGAATTTGCATCCAAAGAAGATCAGTATGTTGTACCTAAAGTATTGACACTGAAAGCAATTAATCTTATCTCTGCATCAAATCTCTCTCTTTGTTTTACAGAACTCGGTGCTATCTGGCTTTGTGCATCTTCATAGATAAACCAGCCAGGTGATCTGAACAATGACCACGCTGAAAACAGACACAGAATGCAGAGCTTGAGTTGTCCCAAATTTTGTCCCAAATTTTGTCCCACAATAGTAAAGGTAAGAGGGACCAGAATTTGGATAGCCTTACCGCAGACACACACTAGTATATATGATATATATGTATATGTACACATTATGTGCCATATTTCTGTTATGTTTGTATCACGCCACTTGCTCAGCCAATCTTGTCCTTCTCCCCCTCCCCCGTCTTGAAAAAATATGTGAATATATGAAATTCCATCTTTAGTCTTCTCTTTGGCCACTAGGAAATGGTCTAGGTTTGGAAAACTCATTTCCTGCTGGGATGTGTGTTGATGCACTGTTACATACTTAAGATATGAATCTGGTTTGACTCAGTAAGGACAGGTGCTGCTCTCTGGAAAGAGAATGTTTCTTTTTTTGATTTTCACAGACCTTGTGGCTACAGGATGGTAACAGGTGCCTCAAAGACAGCTTTTGTCCCAGAGAGACACAGAGGCTTATCTGCAAAAGCACGTTAGAATGATACTGTATGAAGGCAGAAGTATGCAACAACTCCTGCTGTTTCTCAAGGTAGATTCTTGAATTCTGAACCTGACACGTGGTTACATATTTCTTCTCCTATTGTTGGTGGCTTTGAATATTAAACTTCTGAGAGGAAAGACAAAAAGATTTTGTCAGTAACCCTGACAGCCTACAGCTTTACGGTTGATGAATTCAGCTGTGGCGAGTTAGTCAAGTTAGTATCGTCCTTTATTGCTGAAGATTGCAGTTCTTAATGAGCAAATGTCTGGCTACCGTAGGGAAGTTTTAGGTGAGGAGAGAAGAAAAGGGATCGTAGGTTGATCTTCCCCCCGACTCTTTCCAAATATGTATTTGGGGGAAAAAAAAAAAAGAGTTTGAGAATGGCAAAAATAGGGCATGGGGGCACAGTAGCAATAGTGATGTGAATCTGCTTTGAGGCTGTTACAAGTTTACAAGATGTAGGATATTTTCAAGTTAGAAAAGTTTGAGAGTAAAGAACGGGAAGGCGTTCTCATAAACAAAAGATCTGCATTTTATGACAGATGAATTGAAAAGTGACCAGACAGGAACTGCAAGTAAGAAGTGCCAGTAGGTGGTTTCCTTACCAATAAATTGACTGAATGATAGCAAAATGGTATAAAAATGGTACACAAACTCAATATAAGGGCTTTGGATGGCCATGATATGATTGGCTATAGGTGCAGCATTTCACTGCTACTTCAAGTTAACAGTGTGGGGCGTGTGTTAACTGCAGCTTTATCTTCACTGGAAAAAAAATCCCATTTACTATTGAATAGCTGATATGCTTTGCCTATTCCACCGTGAGATCATACTGGAAACAAGACATTGCAGTTTCACTGGGAATTAAGAACGTAACGCCAAACACGGGCAAAATCATCACCACTTTTTCCAGACAATGCCTTGCCTTTAGCTGAGATCCATAGATAAAAATCTGCGTACTTAAGGCCAATATTCGTTATCTCTTTTTTTGTTGTTGTTAATTGTTTTAAAAAATGAAAATTAGCACTTTGTAGAAGCTAAAACAATGCCTCAGGGTCTGTACTTCATGTGTCTGTTTCGTCAACTGATAGAGTAGCCATGTGCTGGTAGGAGGAATATTCGGGGGAATATTCCCATTGAACGCAAGATAAGGCAGAGGTGAAGTCAAGCTGTCTCTTTTTGCTGTGTTTTGAAAAATAAAAAGGTAGTGTATTTAATATTGTATTTTTATCATTCCTGTACTTATGTTTTCCTTTTTTCTTTAACATGTTTTTAACACCCCTGTAAATGAATCGAATTTTTGCTTCCTTCTTTTATATATCAATTATGCTGCTTTTAGTCTGAAGTTCCACTGACTCATGTAACTTAAAACTAACCAACAAGAAGTTATCTATTTGAGGAACTGGTTTTAAAGAATATAACAAAAGATACAGGAAGACACTTTCATGGTCGACCTTCTTGATGCACTAATTCAAAAACAGATGTTGAAAATGTACTGGAAAACTAAAGCCTGAAGTCCATCTATGGCTTAGGGGCTCAATTTCAGCTTGATATGTACTGGCAAGTATTTGAGCCTTCTTTCAAAAATGTTGATTTTTTTTTCACCAGCCAAATGACTGTAAAAATTTATTTTAAACATAAGCTATCCAGACCTACTAATATTTTGGTTTCATTGCAATTATCAAAAGACGTTAGAATTACTGTCTTGTTTAACAGCTACAAATAGCAATTGTCACCTGGTTTAACAATTGTAAACAGGAGATAAGAGTTTACCATGGAGGCGGAAATACCACTGGGATGCAAAAGTAATTCTAATCTGATAAAAGCCTTAAAGGGAAAAAAACCTTCAATATTTGATTACCCCAAGTCTTTGAACATAACAGACAAGACACTCAAAAGATGTTGTTAACATTGTGCAAAGAAGGTTTATTTAGGCCTGTGTGTTAAATCAAAGTCACATAGAATTGACTATTCAGGAACAATTATTTCCTAAACAAAGAGAAACAGCAACTGTGCTGATAACTCATTTTGCCACTATATGTTCTAGCTAACTGCTTACTAATTAGTAACGATGAGAAAAGATAATGCATGTAGATAAATGTCTGTGGCTTTTATTATATTGTTTTTAAGTGAATTAGAGACCTAAATTAAAGAGTACTCTCTATTTGCATGAAACCGTGTAAATATTTCGTATGGAAACCTGAAAGCACATGAAACTCCGGTAGTTGCACTTTGAAAGAAACCAGTTCTGTGTCTACAAACAAACACAAATACTGGATTAGAAAATATGCCACTGAACTTGCAGAAGTCTTACCTGCTAAGGGCAGGAATCTCTCAAGACTGTGTTGTGATTTATTTTCAAGGATTTCAAGAAACTGGTGATACTTGCTTACAGAAGTTGGGGATTGATAGGATCGATCTTCAGCACAAAATGAAGTGCTTTTTATTTGGATTTGCAGTGGTTTGGGGTTTTTTGTTTCCTTGTTTGTTTTTTAAATTTAGAATATATTATGCTTGTAGTGAATCCGAGTATTACGGTAAAATGTAAGCTTGAGAAATCAAATTAATCAAAATCGACATATGAGTTTCTCAAGGATAATACTGTGGAAAGCCACAAAATTAAAATAAAAATTTTGAACACTTGGGTCTTACCGGTGAATACTTATTGGTTCTTGTGGTCTTTGTATAAAATATATTCTGTAAAAGTTTCTCTCGTGATACAAGACTCCCCAAAGAGGTGTAGAGATACCTGAAAGTGTAAAGGGATAAAGCTCTTTTAGTAAAGGTTTGAATGCAGAGACTTCTGCGCCGATTCCCGTGCACGTTCTTTTTTCATAGCTCGTAAAACAACGTGGTTAACCAAATTTTGCCATGTTATCCGCGACTTGGTCATATTGATTCAGGGTGGAGTTCTCTTCACACCTCGATTCAGATAAAATCTGTTTCACAGAATTTTTGCCGTCCTTTTCCTAGCCCTTAGTCCTGAGGTGTTTCGCGAGTGGGCCTGATCGGGTGCATTAGATGTTTCGAGGTAGTTTACCGAATGGCCATTGATTATTCAGTGTTTGACATTTTCTAGCATTATTAATTTTTAAAGACATCAAACAACATTTCGGACCGTTAATTTGGAGCAGCACGCGGTAGCATTTTCCACATTTCTTCAGAGAGTCCTCCGGGACGAAAGGGCTGGCCGGAGTCACTGAAAATGCCGGGTTTTGTAACCTCTTAAACCGACGCCGGTTGCGCTTGGAGGGACCCTGCGCGGCCAGGGCAGGCTCCGGTC